AAAATGGAGACCCGCCGTAGTTGTAAGTCGAGACAGCAACCGATCCTATGCAGTCAAAACAGAGGATGGACGAGTGTACCGAAGAAATCGACGTCATCTGCGGAAGTACAGTCCCTGTCAGAACACAACGGACTCGACAAAGAGAAGAGAAACCAGCGACGGAAGCTTGTACCTAAGAGTGCCACCACGCCAAGAGGCAGCAGCACCACCTCAGGTTTCCCGGAGAGGACCGGAACCTCAGATCATTGGGAACCAGAGATCTCGGTCACCGTATATGCTGAGGAGTAGGTCACATCAGAAATGAAAAACGGAGGATGTGCCGGCTGCTTAGATGTAGGCAGCCGGATAAGTGTCACGTGAATATGTCACGTTCTGTGTTATTTGTGTTGTGTGTGATAGTGAGTGAAAAATACGATTAGCATCACGCCACAGTTAGGTCAAATCTGAGAGAATTACTCAGAAAGGGCGTTAATAGGGCTATCGAATGCACTTTTCCGCGGCGCTGTAGCTCTATTGGTTCCCGAGTTATGCGTTAGCTTCTTGGAAATTTTCGACATTCGACCTGAAAATCGGCGAAATTTTGCCTTCAATGATCTCTGGTGACCTGACCTTTGACCTGACCAAAAAATTGACCGAAGTGATTTCGTCATTATTTTTGACGCTCTTTCGAACGCCGCCTTCCGCGTATCGCTACGTGGCCCAGGAGCCGAGTTACAAGGGGGGGTGTTCAAACACCCCCCCCCCAGCAGGGCGTGGAAATCCAGGACCCCCAGCCGGGCGCGGGTTAAAAACGGAACAAATAGTGCATGGACGCGTTTCGATTATTAAATCTTCATCAGCATGACATAATCACAGATCTTGTTTTCTCTTGATCTTGTTTGTTTTCTTGTTTGATCTTTGTCTTTCTTGTTTGATTTCTTGTCAACAGATCTTGTTTTCTGTTGACATATCTTGTTTTCTCTGTGATTATGTCATGCTGATGAAGATTTAATAATCGAAACGCGTCCATGCACTATTTGTTCCGTGTTTTTCTACTTGTCTCTATCAATATACAATAACAGTTTTATATTTCTGCCATGCTATTGATTATTTTGGTAAATTCATATCTATTCATCATGGCAAAAAGCACCATCTCACATATTACCTTTGACCGTTTGTCAATGACATTTCCCGTTTCTGATATCTGCGAGAATCATTTCCTTAGCACGAAGAACTATAGCGATAGACGAGTCCTCGATAGACGAGAATTCTTAGTAGAAGTAATTGCCATCCCCATGCCGGTATTTAGTACTTCCACAAGGATGGCTCCGGCTCATATGATTTCATCCAACGAGAAACATGTCTCCCTACGACACCTGCAGAAGAACTCGCGGTCCCAAAAGTCCCCTTTCAGATCTTTGAGTTGTACACATACATTTTTCCTTAGCCAATGCTTTGCTTCTCCTTTCCATCCTGTCACCCATCCCTAACACCCAGTCCTTTGACACCGGTCGTCTCAGAGCGCTGCCCCTGGCGGCGGCGCCTTTACTTCTATTGGGAGCGGTCTGCGCGGTGGCGGGCAGCGGAGGCTGTGGGCGGCACCCAGCGCAATTGTACAGGGTGTCTCAAAAGTTCGCTTACAGGTACCAGCCATGCTTTTTTGTCAATAATTCTGAATCAACATGAAATTAACAGTCGAAATTTTGCATGGGCATTGGTAACAACCTTCCTCAAGCAGCTTCATTGTTTTCAAGCGCATTCGACCCTTCATGAGCTCACAAAAAGGGTTCACCTCTGACCATGGATCAGGCATGAAAATGGAGGTCGCATACTCGGGTCGGCTGAGAAACTCTCTGCTTCACGAGTAATGGGAATGGTTAGGTCGGAAATGACACATGGCAAAGTGTCGGCGAGGATGAGTACAACATGATGGTCATCTAATAAAAACGGTGGCTAAAATTTTTGAAGGACAAAACCATGCGAGACTAACAGCGCTTTGAACTACCCTTGTACCGCAGCAGACTCGTGCTCCGGAAAGCAGCTGAAAATGCAGTCCTAACTATTAAAAACTGACTAGAAGCTCACAGACAGAGGTTACCCAGTTTCAAAAATTGCAGGTCATCATAAAATAAAGACAAAATATCATTTAAAATTGTTTATAATATCTGGGGCATTCCACGTCAAATCAAACACCGAAATCCGTCATCCCCTTCGATTTTTCTGAAAATTTGTAGGCAGACTGGGCATGGTTCAAAACTGAGTTACGTATAATATTTTCGAAATTTAATAACGTATCGCCGAGATATAGGTCATCGAATATAGCCAAAAATGCCACACATCATTTTTTTAAATGCTTATAACTCTGCTTCCTTTTCTGGTATCAAAATGATATTAACAGGGTCTTGTAGGCAATTGATAAGGCTTTGATTTTTAATTATAAAATTAAATTGAAGTGACCTTGAAATGCATTTGACCTTGAATTAAAACAGAAAAATTTAAATAGGAAAAAACACGCCACCTTCGATTTGAGTAATTTTTACATATTATGTCCGTCACAATGTTCCTAACCATCTGTGAAAAAATTGGAGTGGGCCATTTATAACTTTCGCGGCAAACGCCGTTTTCATGCATCAACATCACGCAACCGCGCGTGACCTTGAAAGACAGAGTCAAGACATGCTTGCTTGTGTACACTTTCTGAAATGAATGATTGCTGATTAGTGATATCCCAAACTCTGCGAGAATGGAAATGCATAGTCATCGTAGTCAAGCATTCACGTTCCATTGTAAAAGTGTCTCAGGCAAACGGTATTTTGCGGTGAATTTTGAGCCGTGTGGAAATGCATCATGAAATAAATTCAACGAAAACATTATCACGCAACGATATCTTCACGTCCTTTGATCTTCACTATAAGAAAGAACATACATTTTTGAGTATGTATGGATTTCTATGTATGAATTTCTAGTCAATCCGATAATAAATATGGCAGTTAGAGTCCTGCTAAGAGTAACATGTCGCCGGCTGAGGCGGGATCGGCCGAAGCGGGAAACGCAGCAGTCACAATTTTGTGTTTACACGTTCATATTTCAATTGTTTACCAACCTATTTTCAGAATTCTTTCACCATAAGATTTCCTGTACATTTCTTAGTCTTCTCACAAAATTTGACGCGAATCGAACGTAATCAGCGGTAAGGAGCGCGATGTAAAGACGGAACCGTTCCGTTCCGTCCCGGCACAGTCTACAATTCAGGCGGCGCGTAGCGGTCGGCGCCGGCTGCCGAGTCGCCGCGTCGCCGCGGCGACAGGATGTTCACTTTACACCGCTATTACTAGAACAGTTGTGAACCGATTTTCTTATTGCTTGCACGATGAGATGTGCAATTCAATTCTGGCCAGGTAGCCATAAGTAATTTCGCATCAATATTATGAGATATTGGCGAAAAACAGGAGGGGTGGGGCGAAATTCACTCTTCCCCCTCCACTGCGCGTGCTAACATACGTTTGCATATGTGCCATTTTCTTCAAAACTTATGAATGGCCCACTCTAATTTTTTCACAGGTTGTTAAGAATATGGTAGGCAATAAAATATATGAAAATGAGCCAAATCGAAGGTGGCGTGTTTTTTGCTATTTCAATTTTTGTGCTTAAGAACAGAGTTAAGCAAATTTCAAGGTCATATATTTAAGTCGATGCAATTCTAAACAAATGCTTAAGAAATTACCTAAACAGTAAAGTTTATTTCATTCAAATCAAACAAGTACAACCAAAGTTATGGTCGTTCAAAAATATAAAGATGCAACATTTTGTAAAAATTTGATGCCCTATATTTAGAAGACCTGTGGTCAGAAAGTGCAAAAAACATCAATGTAATGTCCGGGGCGACACAGGAACTCGCTCACAAATTTATAATGAAATCGCTGATGGTAAGGGGCAAAACAGCCGATTTTTGTTCGATTTGACGTGGAATGCCCCATCTATAACGCTAAATTTTGAGGGAAAATAATGCGAAAATCGTCAATGCCGAGGACAAGTGACCCTCCAAAAGTGTCAATTAATGTAAAGTTTTATATAACGAAGTTTCAAGAGGCAGATCTGGAGCAAATAGCTTTCTTTTACACACAAAATTCGGACAAAACCGCACGATGGACAGGTTTTGGCCGTTTACAAAGCAGAACCTCTCCTGAGGAAAACACTCCGGAACTCAGCGAAGGTCTTGGCATTGGGAATGACGAGCGTTCGGGATTTGCAAATTTTGCAAAATGTGTCTAAGAAACAGATGGCCGACACATTCTGCTACGATATGCTGCGAAAAATTTGCCCCTGGCACTTCCCATTTGTTCAGGAATGGGGTTCTTTTGAAAAGGAAAATGGTGCTTGGGAGGTCGGCGCCAGTCATTCATGAAGGAGTTAGCGCCAGAGAAGACCTACAAAATACTCACGGATGGTGTCGATGCAAGCTATCGGCTTTCAGGGAGAAGCGGATGTTGCCGGGGAGCTCGTCAAACCTAAATCCGACGCAGAAACTGCGGGGGATTCCCCTACAAGAGCTTGAAAGCTGGTAACCTTTTATCAGCCTCCGGCAGCTGACGGAGTGACGAAAATCGGTATGGGCAAATATTTTTGGAGATACAGCAAAGGGTTTGGTTTCCAACCTTCCGAATCAGTTGTCAAAGCATGCATATTTGTCTAGTGTACACACGGACACCAAAACCTTATATTTTTGGCCGGTTCTTATATGCTTTATTGACATTGGAAATGTGTAAACGAGCTTTTGAGACACCCTGTACATACGGACTCGAGAGGCGCCCCGAGTGCTCCAGCACTTTTGCGCCAATCGAGGTGACACTGATTGTTTGTTTTGAATGAATGTGTTCAATATGTGAGTTGAGATGAGATGCTTTCCAATTTGCATAGTCCGAACTCCGAATGCAATCTACTGGCCACCGTAGCAGACGGTCAGCAGGCGTCGGCTGGCGAACGAAGGACAGATTTTACAATGTCGCTCCTGTGTATTACAGGCATCACGATGAGCTTCCCACCACCTGAAAGACTGCGGAATGGACAGCAGAAGGCGCCCAGACGCCTCCCTAACATGTGCAACGACTACAACCACAGGGGAGGGTGTAGCCGCTCCAATTGCCATGAGCTGCACTTGTGCACACATTTCCTTCAAAACAGATGCACAGCCGAGCGATGCAACAAGGCTCACGCCCTGGGGACGCCCAGAAACACCCTGCTGCTGGAGAGTGAGGGGTGGACAGGTCCGGGGGACCTGGAGTTGGCGCTGGACATCCTCCGCCGACTGGCTCGAGAACAGGCGGTCAGCATCTGCTTCAATTACAACCTGGGCAGCTGCTCTGTCCCCAACTGTGACCGGCTGCACGTCTACTACCGCCGCGTAGTGAATACCTGTCCGCTGGACGACTGCGGCCTCAGTCACGACCTGTACGACAAGCAAAACGCCGCCCTTCTGGCCAGTGCCGGTCTGACCGATACTCCTGTGCCAGAGCTCCTCAGGCGACTGCAGGAGCAGGTGCGCCACCCACCTCCCCAGCCGGGGCTCTGCGGAGCCTACGGCAAACAGGGCTGCCAGGGACACTGCCTGCAACTGCACTACTGCGAGGCGTTCCTCCACAGTCGCTGCAGGTTCGGAGACAGGTGCTCATGGAGTCACAGCCTGAAGGACCGGCACAACCAGCGGGTGCTGGCATTCTTTGGCTGGACAGAAGAGCAAGTGCTGGAGGAGCTGAGGAAGGATAGAAGCGGCAGATCAGCTTCTCGGCCAGCCGGAGCTCGAACTCCTACGGGACAAGAGGACCAGGAAAGGTCCGACCGACAGGGCCTCTGCGAGGGACCGCAGCAGGACCCCAGTGCCGAAACCCGCATCAAAAGGGTCGACACCGCTGGGAAGGATGTAAGCCATGTGAACGATTTACTTGAAAAATCGGGCAAACAACTACAGAGACATTACAAGATGTGTGAGCAGACAGCCAGAGTGCGCCCGCATGCAAAAGAAGACAACCTCTCGAGCCAGCAGTTGGAGGCGGAGAGACAGCAGTTGGAGGCGGAGAGACAGCAGTGGGGGCGAAAAGAGACGGAATGGAAGGAAAAGGAGAGAGAATGGAAGGAAAGGGAGATAGAATGGAAAAACAAGGAAGCGGAATGGAAAAACATGAAGGCAGACTGGCGCCAAAAGGAACACGAGTGTCTAGAAAAGGAAATAAAGACAATACGGGAGCGACAGCAGTGGCAGCAAAAGGTGACGGAGTGGGAGGAAAAGGAGACGGAATGGGAGGAAAAGGTGACGGAATGGGAGGAAAAGGTGACAGAGTGGGAGGAAAAGGAGAAGGAGTGGAAAAACAAGGATATCGAATGGCAGAACAAGGAGGCAGAATGGCAGCAAAAGGAAAACGATTGGCTAGAAAAGGAAAGAAGGGAAAAAGAAACACGCGAGACAGAGGAACGAGCGCGGAAAGAACCCGAAGACAAACTAAGAGACGAAAGTGAACGTGAGAGGCAAAAATATGGTCAGGAAAAGGGAGGTGACTTGAGAGCAACTATAGAAAAAGAATCGCGAGAAACAGAGTTAATGCAGAGTTATGCAAAACTTATTATCGATCATGAATGCAGCAAGAAGACCATGTATTCTCTTCAGCAAATGAACGCTGATTATGAACGGCAGATCGCCAGTATGCAGACTCTGGTGAAAGAGCTGAAGGATAAAGATGAAGAGCGAGCGATCAAAATAAAAACAGAAGAGGAAGACAAGAAAAAGAACATTGAAGAACTGACAAAACTCCGAGAACTTTTCCAGAGACAGAAAGGATACGTGGAATGCAGCGTCTGCCTTGGCACCTTCGTCGAGCCAGTAACCATGGAGTGTGCCCACACATTTTGTAAAACCTGCATAGAAAACACGCCGAGACCCGCCGGAGAAACGCTTGGTATCCCGCGCCCTCTAAATCCAAATGAAAATCGCCAGTGTCCGCTCTGCCGTACGGTGACAAACGTTCAGGTCCCCACTCTGGCTCTCAAAAACATCTCCAGCACCTTCTCTGGCGATCAGCAGCGGGGAGCGATGAGGAGGGATCAGCAGCGAAGAGCCGCCAGGGGGACCAGCGGGAGCCGCAGAAGGCGCCGGCGTCATGATGATCATCAACCCGCTCAGGGGGTCACCAGTAGCAGCGAGGTTCGTCCGAGGGCCAGGTGATCCAGAAGAAATAAAATGCATATAACACTCAAAAGCTGACGGTGACCTGACTTCAATCATGTATTTTGTTATCGAAATCGTTTGATAACATTCAGGGGGGTGTTACTTTTGCTTTTGAGATGGGGTGCACTTGGTGGTGGGGGCGACATTCAATGTGGATAGGGGTGTCTCCAACCTCCATAGATGGTACCTATCTCTCAATTTTGATAAAAATGCTTTGTTGGTATATTTCAGAATTCAGACTTGAGACTGATCACCATTTTTGTTCCTCTGACTTGGTTTGAACACAGTCTGATGTTGCAAGCTGGCTTTTGAAGCTAATTTATATAGGTATCGTTGTAAACGACTGACAAAACTTCCCTGCCAGCTTTAGCATCGGCGTCCAATCATTTTTTTTTCTGACAGTAGGTACGCAGAGCAATTAGCATGCTGCCGCGAACGCATTCACCTCACCTGTCGTCTCATCGAGCTCGGTAGAACACGATCCACAATCACAACTCAGTGAAAAATGGACCTCTTCGCAGTTGAAACCAATAGTCTGTCTTTATCACATTTCAACGTGCGTGATTACTTGACGTATGTGGGAATGAGTTCAGCCTTGTTTTAGTTTACAACATTGATAGCACAACACCGGAATAGCCAATGACGTATTTTCCAATATCAGACATATGCTCTATTTCTGAAATAAACATGAATATTTTTTGTATGTGCATTGTTAACCCGCGCCCCGTTGGGCTCTGCCGAGCAACGCGCCCTGTTGGGGGTGGGGCAATTTGCCCCCCCCCCCTAAGATCTCGAGAACCACGCAACCTAGCGACAAGCGGCAAACGGTGTTGGATAGCCCAATATCAGGGAACTACCTTGTGACCCAATTTTATTGGCCTAGGTCAAACCGATGACGTCCCAGGTCAGGTCAAAGGTCGAATTTTCACCGTTTACAGGCATTTCAAGAAATGCGTTGTGAAATCGAGTAAAATGCATTTCATTGAAAATCATCGATGGGGAAATGTTCTTCAAACACATATTTTGCTATTTGAGGTCACTGATACCAGGTCAGGTCACAGAGGTCAGGTCACTGAGGGTCACAATATGAAAATATCATGTGATGCATGTATTATGGTCCAATTTATATGTCAAATACGATTATGTGGGTCAGGCAGCCTTTCGGTCAGTTTAGATTATGCTCTGGTGAAGGTCAGGTCAAGGTCAGGTCAAGGTCAGGTCAAATTAGGTCAAATTTCAAAGTTAATATTTTTGCATAAAATGGGCATCGATTCGATGCAGCTCGTCACGAGGAGTTCAATGGTGGTCTTTGTGTTGCCCTACGTGTTCTAGAATCGCTAAAAATTGAGTTAAAAAAATTGACGTCATCATTTTTGAACCGTTTTTTTTTCGCTATAACTTGGCCAAAAAACGAGATATCGATCTGAAATTTGGAATGTATATAGAAGAGCGCAGGGACTATCACATATATTCCGGTTTTTCGAAATTCGGGAATTTTTTGGATTTTTTAGCTATTCTAAAAAAAATCAATCTTTTGAATTTTGGGGGGTCAAAAACCCAAAATTTTGAAAATCCGAGACAGCAATTTTGTAGCGCCGCTTTTTGTCTACTAGACCATATCAAGAACTTTGAAATTGCTTGGTAGCTGTAGATTTGGTGAGCGTTTCAAGATTGCATGTTTTTTTGCTCATTTTTGCTCGAACATGACCTCAGTTTGACCTCAATAGCTCCTGACCTAAGGTGACCTAAGACTTGAAATTTGGTGTGAAGGTGTCAAATTGATGCCCGGGAAGGTACTGAAAATTTGGCGGCGCAGCGCCGCCGTTTTCTTGCTATTCAGGAAAAACCACAGGGGAGGCCAAATTGCCCCCCCCCCCCAACGGGGCGAGGGTTAATTGTATGAACACTCAACAGCCCATATATTCCAATAGCACAGAGAAAGGTATTTACGAAATGACATTTAAATTTGTTTTCACGAATATCAGTCAATTGAATTTATAGCTACCTTGCATTTTACTTTTTATTCCCTTCTCTTAGTCGGGGTGCCCTTTTTATGCTCGGCGAGAAATACTTTTACTGGAATTTCCTTGTTTGCTGGGCGCCCTTCTACTGCTGGGGGCGCCCCTCTTCTGCTGGGGCATCCCTTTTCTGCTTGGGGCACCATCTTCTGCTGGGTCGCCTCTCTACTCCGCCCCTTGTTTTGATCGCTCGCGAGCGTCAGTGACCTGTGCCCGAGGCCCGTGCCAGCGACCGTGCGGATCGTGTCCGAGTGAGCCGTGGCCGTGGCAGCGCGGGCGTGGCAGGAACAGAGTGTCGTGGACGATTAGTAGCGATGGCTCCATCCGCCTCTGAGCTTACCGAGGCTATAGTCGAGGCCCTACAGAGCCCACAGATCAGAGAGGGGCTACTGGACGCGGTAATTAGGCCGGCCGTCGACGAGGCAGTGAAGAGAGCCGTCGCCGCAAACAACGAAGAAATAGCGCGGCTCGTCCAGCAGCAAGCCGAGCAGCAGGCCAAGATAGACGGCCTGGAGGCACAGGTGACGAAGCTGACGGCGCTCGTCACCGAGCAGGCCCAGTGCCTCAACGAGCTGGACCAGTACGGGCGGAAAGGATGCGTCATCGTGTCCGGCCTGCCGGAGCAAGCGAATGAGTCGGTCGGCGAAAAGATCGAGGAGCTCGGTCGCGTCGTGGGCGTTGGCCCTCACGGAGAGATCGACGTGGCTCACCGACTCGGCCGGCTGGCTCCCGGCCGGGCCCGCCCCATCATCGTACGGCTTCGCAGCTTCGAAAAGCGACAGGAGTTGTACGCAGCTAGACGCAAGCTGAGGTCGACGGGGCTGGTCCCAAGCGCTCTAATTACCAGCGCAGTGGCGTCTAAGATCTTCATCTCAGACAGCCTGACCAAAACCAACCCTTCATCTCAGACAGCCTGACCAAAACCAACCAGGACATCCTCTACCGGGGACGACAACTGAAAAAGGACGGCCGTCTCTGGGCCGTCTGGTCCGACGCCGGGAAACTCAAGGCAAAGGCACGTGACGGCGATCCCACCACCGTCATCCGCTCCTTCGCCGACCTGGCTCGTCTCGTGGGCGACGACCCTGTGCCGCCCCCTTCGTCGGCGGCCGCGGCCGCTGCGGCGGGAGGCTCTGGCAGCGGCGGCGCCGCGGCCGTCGGTGGGCGAGAGGATGCCGACGACGGCTTCACACTGGTAGACGCCGGTTCGAGGAGGCCCCGACGCGAAGCTTCAGTCCGTAAACGCGGGGGCGCCGCGCGCTAGAAGTGTTCTCGCGATGAACACTGGGCGGCGGCGGTGGCGCCCCCCCCCCCCATTCGCGGCTCCTGGGTGCGCCGCTGAGACGCTGCGGCCGCTCGGGTCATGTCGGGTCACTCCGGTCAGTCCCGCCGTGGCGACCGGGGTGTCGTGTTGCGTGCGTGTGCTGTGCGAGCGGCGACGAACTAACTGACCGTGGGCTGTCGCTGGATGGAAGTGATGCCGCGAAGGGTGACTCGAGTTGCTGACGAGGCTGTTACGCGTCTGGTGCGACCGCGGATGTGGTGACTGGGCGCTTCGCCGGCGCCCAGCTCTAGTTGCGTCTCGAACATGACCTCGGTCTAAGGACGGACACACGAGCGACTGAGGCGACTAGACGCACCTGAACTGAGGTAAACCCAGCGCCCTGATACTGCGCAGAGACAGTCCTGCGGCGCTAGGGGGGAAGGGAGGGGGGGGAGTCCGGCAGGGGAATCCGGTTAGGGTGTCCGGAGGGGGGGGGGAGAAGGACGCTAAGTGTGTAATGCATGTGTGTGCAACTCATGCATGTGTGTGCAACTCAGAACTGTGTGCAAACTAGCTAACTTAAGCCACTAATTGAATTAACAACAGACAACTGAACTCACCACGATGTTTCGTCATTATAATGCACAACGAGTTACCACTCAGTCCCGCCGCTGGTCCGCCGGCCGTCGTGCCGTCGGGTCGTCCCCTCGCTAGCGACACGTAGCCCACAGCAGCGCGCCCCCACAAACCCCTGCGGGCCCTGAGCTGTCTGTTGGGACGCAGCCATGCCGGCTTCGCCTCCTTCCCTGGGAGGTTTCAACCTACTGCCTGCTTGTGTTATGTATATAAATGCCTAACCTTTTATAAAATTGCTCTTATTTGCTCTACTTGCTTATGGTTAGCATCTAATACACAACAGTTTATGTTCACTGTTTATGTTCACAGTATTGTAGACTGTTTTGTTCACTGCTTATGTTCAGTCTCTCACCCACAACTGTTTACGTTCACTGTTCATGTTCACTGTTTTGTAGACCCTGTCACGTTCGGCTGCCGCGGCTTGTTTTTGACTTTTCACTTTCAATAATGGTCGACCAGTGCTTGGCGGGTCGGTGCCGGTCCGGCGAGCGCCGCGCTGACCCCTATACCTACCCTTCACAGTCCTTCAGCTTGCGCACACACAATCACACATTCTACTGTCCTTCAGCTGTACAGAACAACACACAAATCCTGACATCCCCAGAACACACACCTTACACTACAAAGACATCCTTAGCACATCCTTCTCAACACATCACAATTAAACAATGGGAGTTGCTTGCACTGTGCCCCATAACAAAACTACTTCTAATCATCAGCGGTATCGAGACAAATCCAGGACCAAACATCAAACAATTAAATTTATGTCACGTGAACATCAACAGTACGCCATCAAAAATAGACGAACTGTCGGCTTTTGTCAACCACAACAGCATCGACATTTTAATGACAAGTGAAACAAAACTAGACGACTCCGTGCATCCTAGTCTTTATGAATTACCCGATTTTCACACGCTTACCTGCACAATAGAAATAGAGACGGTGGAGGAACGGCGATATATGTGCGGGCAAACCTGGCTGTCAAGAGACTAGCAAATTTAGAGCTAGAAGAGGAGGACTGGGTCTGGGCAAAGGTTTCACTGAACGGAACATCCATAGTAGTTTGTAGTGTATATCTTCCACCAGGTCTCTCAGCCGAAAGACTGGACGAATTCAATTGTAGGTTCATCGAAAGTGTTTCTCTGGCCAATTCGCTTTCACCACTAGCAATATTTATACTCGGAGACTTTAACACTGGAAATATATTTTTAGAAAACAGTAGCCATTTAATCCGTCACAGTGGAATCACCTCTTTTGATACTAAGTTAAGTCACACACTAGATACGCTAGAACTCACTCAACTTATCTCATCACCAACAAGACGCACAGAAACAGTCGCAAACCTGAGAGACCTAGCAATAACCAACAACAAAGATATCGTTACAAGCTCTGGGATTCTGTCCTCATTTGGCAACATGGACCACTTCCCCATTTACCTGTCAACTAGCCTCACATCATCCACTTCACCTACACAATCTAGGACGATCTGGGACTACAGCAAACTCGACGCAGACAAATTGACCAGACTCATACAGACCACAGACTGGGACGAGTTACTTAACAATGACATAGACACCGCCACCAAAAAATTCACACAAGCAATCTTGGAAGCCGCCCGTGAGACAATTCCTATAAAAATTATTCACGTTAAACCCGGCGATAAACCCTGGATAACAAGACATTTGAAACATCACATGAAAAAACGAGACAAACTTTTTAAAATCGCAAAAGGAACGAACTCGAGCTGTGACTGGGAAGCCTGGCGACTTCAGAGAAATTTTG